ACGTTGCTGGAGACCGATTCTAATCTACATGGGGTACCAATGAGTGCACTACAAGACACACATATACGTAATACCAGGATAAGATACATCGGCATAGGCGCCATCCCCATACTTGCCTGACGTTGCTGGAGACCGATTCTAATCTACATGGGGTACCAATGAGTGCACTACAAGACACACATATACGCAATACTAGGATAAGATACAACGGCATAGGCAGCCATTCCTATACTTGCCTGACGTTGCTGGAGACCGATTCTAATCTACATAGGGTACCAATGAATGTACTACAAGACACACATATACAAGAAGAGATCATCATTAGTGTGGATTTCTGGGATTACATACAATCTATTCTCATACATCAATCTGACTTTTTCACCAAGGTGAGTTTTCTTTCAGATATTCATATTTTTAACCTCCAATGTAAAACCATTTGATGACTGGCAGGACATAAACACAGTCAGTTTAAACTATATCACACTGAACAAAGTATACTTCAACACAACATGTGTTGTTATAGTCTGGAATAATATTTGCAGGAAGAGGAACACAAAATGAGACAGAACACATCTCCCTGGATAAGATTTTGATTTCAAAGTTCACACAAAATCAGATCCGGTAGGATTATCATGAATCTTGTTTGAGTGGCATTTTAGAAGTTGAGACGTACAATATATCACAAGTTTTATGGATAACAACTTCTTTATTTTAAGTTGATGCCGTTTTGATACAGATTCTTGTACCGTTGTCCAAGCAAGACAACGGTACAAGAATCTGTATCAAACGTCACACTCCTCTGAAAAAATAAAGAAGTTGTTATCCATAAAACTTGTTATATATTGTATTATCATGAATCATCGCCAAAGTTATGCCAACAATGTAAGCCATGAGGGTAAGCCTACAATAGATCATATCCATTTTGTTTGAAGAGATCAATACAACTGTCTAGTGTTCTAATATACATTCTAGGTCTCAAATTTGTTTCTACATGTTTAAGATAAAATGTTCCAGATTTTCTTGTAAAACACAAAACAAACAAAAATATAGTCAAACGATTCTCCTACAATCCTTGATGGGGACAAAAGTGAATTGATAATTGTGATTCAAGATGAAGCATTGGCTTTCAATACTTTCCTGTCTTAAAGTGATGCCTAGGCAAAGAGGCTACTGTGTATTCTAATCATGGCAGTGTACTTACATAACGTAGATCTTTGGTTTTGGGAAAAAATCCTTTGATGTGTTATGATGGGTTAGTGAGTGAGTGAGTATGGTTTTACACAATATTCCAGCAATATCATGGCGAGGGACACCAGAAATGGGCTTCACACATTGTATAGTGGATGCTTTAACCACTAGGCTACCCCACCGCCCTCTATGATGGGTTAGTGAGTGAGTGAGTGAGTGAGTATGGTTTTACGCCACTTTTAGCAATATTCCAGCAATATCATGGCGAGGGACACCAGAAATGGGCTTCACACATTGTATAGTGGATGCTTTAACCACTAGGCTACCCCACCGCCCTCTATGATGGGTTAGTGAGTGAGTGAGTGAGTGAGTATGGTTTTACGCCACTTTTAGCAATATTCCAGCAATATCATGGCGAGGGACACCAGAAATGGGCTTCACACATTGTATAGTGGATGCTTTAACCACTAGGCTACCCCACCGCCCTCTATGATGGGTTAGTGAGTGAGTGAGTGAGTGAGTGAGTGAGTGAGTGAGTGAGTGAGTGAGTGAGTGAGTGAGTGAGTGAGTGAGTATGGTTTTACACCACTTTTAGCAATATTCCAGCAATATCATGACGAGGGACACCAGAAATGGGCTTCACACATTGTATAGTGGATGCTTTAACCACTAGGCTACCCCATCGCCCACTGTGATGGGCTAGAAATGCACACACTGCATATATATATTTGGGAAATCAAACCCAGATTTTAGCATGATCATACCTGTCTGGGTATCCTCACATTGAACGCTTGCAATATTGCTGAAGATGAGAATCAAATTCCTAATTCAGCACAATCACTGACCAATGTTGAATCATTCCATCAGGGAAGACACACGTTCACACAAAATAAGCAGCTTTCAAAAACAGTTTTGACAGACACAACAAAAAATACAGGTATATAAATAGATATCTAATGCAGTCTGATTAAAACCAAACTTTCTGGTCATACACATGTAATAACGATCAAAGCATAAAATGCATTCAAAACACACAATGCATTTGACAATGAACTTGGGCCATTTTCATACTTCCTTTGTTACAGATCAAACAATCACAGCAAAAGTTTGTGATCAAAAAATGGGGACAACTTTCATTTTTGTTTCCCCCTCTCTGTGTAAATGAGTTTTCAATATCATGATAAAGTACCAAACTGACAGACTGACTGACTGACTGACTGACTGAGTTTGGTTTTACGCCGCTTTTAGCAATATTCCAGCAACATCACAGCGGGGGACACCAGAAATGGGCTTCACACATTGTGCCCATGTGGGGATTCGAACCCTGGTCTTCGGCGTGAAGAGACAACGCTTTAACCATTAGGCTACCCCACCGCCCAGTACCAAACTGAATGTTTAAACATCTGAAATATCATGTACAGGTAATCATTCTCATTGTATGGTTTCAGGTTTCAGGCCTCTATGAACTTATAACAAAGTAGGACAGGGTATGATTTCACATTTTTTGGCTACATCTATCTGGGCCCCATTCCTCAAAGTGATCGTAGTGCTACGACTTTCGTAACTCGCATACTTTAACATAGACTTACGACTGTTGTAGAGCTAGGCCTGCTTTGAGGTACAGGGGCCTAGGTGCAACCAAGTGAATTGATTTCATTGCACCATCAAAATATTGCTTGCACCATGTTATAAACAATCCTATCGCTGTCACTGGTAACAGATGACTGTCTATGAGCACAGCGAGAGGAATATTTATAACCGGCTTCAAAAGCTCAGGAAAAGCTTGCATTAATCGATGTCAGGAAGGATGTTTTGACAGATTGGTGCTTTTAATTGACATTTTCATGTTGAAATTAATTTTCTTTTCCACATGGCAAAATCAACTTGTCCACCATTACAGGTGATGTATTACACAGTGATCTCTGGCCTTCCATGAAATGTCACAAGATTGTGTACAGTGTGGGTTTATATAACTGATTAATGAGCGTCAAAACAGACTTGTTTACATTTATAGTTTCTGATAATTGTTTCATGTGATACGCAAGACAGAAAACTTTTTAACACAGGAAATTTGTACCAGTAAATCTGCTGCCGTGCACATGGGTGTAAAATGTTACCTGCCCTGGGTGCAGCCTGAAAATACAAGTTACCTGCACTAGTAATAATTTACCTGCCCTTGTGCAACCTGGATGTAACAAAACCAATCCATGTGACACACAGCCTGAGAACACTGTACATATTCAACAGTGAAAAGTACAACATTTCTGACAACACAACAGATCCACACGTCAAGAGTATTTAAACACAAACAACCTATTCTCACTTGATTGCAATCTGTCAATAAACATTCAGGCAAACATGGAATAATAAAAAAATATGTAGCCAACAGTAGCTAGCTGAACAATCACATTATGAACAAACATTTATGTTCCTTTGGTTAAATAATTGACAACACAGTGGCCACAGTGAAACCGTACAAAACTAACAGAGCTGGCAGGGCTCGATTTAACTGACGATGTAATTGACTTGATTTAAATTATTTAATTGACATGATTTAATTGACTTGATTTAATTGACTTGATTTAATTGACTTGATTTAATTGTCATGATTTAACTGACATGATTTAATTGACTTGAATTAATTGACTTGATTTAACTGACTTAATTATACCTGCACCAGGTGCCTGTTGAAACGAAAAAACTAGTTGCACAAGACAAAACCAGGTTGTACCTTGGTCCTATACATTTATCAAAGTTGAAACACAGATGAAAAACCTCTAATTGTATACACATTACTGTGTGATGCGTAATGAATTACCATGCTCAGTAATGTGTGATGTTGTATGGTAAATATAGCTTAGAGTTATTAAGTGTGCTCAACGATCGTTCTTGTGGAGACAGCTAAGAGTAATTCAGCCACAAATCTATTTTTTACATGAACTTGTAGATAGATATAAATGTTAGGTCGCAGTTTTCAATTACTTTTATGGTTGTAATGATGCACATTTTAGATGCATTCATCATCGAAACTTCAGGCCTGAAACAAACTATCACCTCAATGGCTATCAGATATCCTGTTATCCAAAAAACAAATTTCAGTATGGAAAATGTATGAACAAGGTATGAAAATTCTGCTTGATCAGATTTTTTTAAAACTTAAGCTTGAATAGCAGAAACACTGCACATTTTAAACATTGGCTACTAACACAGTTAGTAAACCTACGAATGTTTTCCATGAGATTATACATGTCGATTCTAACAGTACATTTATCAATGTTTCTGGTTTCACTGTATGCCGATGTCCACACCTATTTCTGTAACATTACCTGCCCTATTTATTGCTGTACAATCATCACAATTTGTTAAAAGTTGATAGTTATCACAGCTGTACCAAATGGCAAGAAGTCTTTCAACTACCCATGGTTTTAAATACAAAAAGATTATACATAATGCACATTCTGTGACACCTTGTTATTCATACAACATATCTTTGGAATGTACAATACAGGTGTGGAGCCTCAAGATGTACAACACTGTGATGAAACCTCAAGATTTTCAATACCACTGGTCATCTTCCAGATGTATAACAATGTGGATCTAAAAGATGTGTAATATTGTGGATCTTCAAGATGTACAACACTGTGGATCTTCAATATGTACAACACTGTGAATCTTCAAGATGTTCAACAATGCTGATCTTCATGATGTACAACATTGTGAATCTTCAAGATGTACAACATTGAGGATCTTCGAGATGTACAACATTGAGGATCTTCAAGATATACAACATTGTGGATCTTCAAGATGCACCAAGAGCTGAGGATCTTCGAGATGTACAACACTGAGGATCTTCAAGATATACAACGTTGCGGACTTCCAAGATTTACAACATTGTGGATCTTCGAGATGCACCTCAGAGCTGAGGATCTTCGAGATGTACAACACCACTGAGGATCTTCAAGATATACAACGTTGCGGACTTCCAAGATTTACAACATTGTGGATCTTCGAGATGCACCTCAGAGCTGAGGATCTTCGAGATGTACAACACCACTGAGGATCTTCAAGATATACAACGTTGCGGACTTCCAAGATTTACAACATTGTGGATCTTCGAGATGCACCTCAGAGCTGAGGATTTTCAAGATGTACAACACCACTGAGGATCTTCAAGATGTACAGCATTGAGGATCTTCACGATGTACAAAAGTGCTGAGGCGCTTCAAGATGCACCTAACTGCTGAGGATCTTCAAGATGTGCAGATCACTCAGTTTGTCTTCAGCTTTTGACATCACCATTGCCGTCACCACCATTGCTTGCACTGGCACCATTCTCATCGCCATTCTCATCACCATTCTCATCGCCATTCTCATCACCTTCCTCAGTCTTGGTGAGTTGTTGCTGCCACATATCGTAGTAATACCCTCCATGTTCCAGCAGTTCATCATGCCTGCAACACGTTTCACATGCAGCATGAAATATGTTGTCACATTACAAGTTATCAACAAATCACACGGGACATATTGTGTGGTACCTCGTGGTAACCACTGGATACATCATATAATGAGAAATATTCACCTTTCAAACATTCACTCATACACATCCAGAATATATATAACTTTGACTTGGCCATTTTAAATCTTGTAGATGATGCTAACAATTAGAGTTACCTCCCTTTACCCATGCTTTGGGATAAACATGAGTTCACTTCAGGCACTAATGAAAGGTAAGTGTTATATGCAAGATGTGCACTAATGAATTTCTCAGTGGGCCACGTGAAATTTTTATTCACCATATTAACAGGCTGCATATAATATAATTACATGTAAAGTAAGATAAAATATAATTTTATGTAGGATAATGTGTAACATATGTTATAAAGTCTACCATGTTTGCTGTTTAACCTCTCACTCAGCAAAACATTTCAGCAATGTGTTACTTGTAAATACTGAAATACTGTAAATACTGAAATACTGTAGGTACTGAAATACTGTAAATACTGAAATACTGTAAGTACTGAAATACTGTAAGTACTGAAATACTGTAAGTACTGAAATACTGTAAGTACTGAAATACTGTAAATACTGAAATACTGTAAATACCAGAAACCCCAGTGTTTGACACAATGAGCTCCTTCCTATACTGTTATTGCATGACTATGCCTTGCCACCCAATCTACCCCAGTACAATAAAGGGGTTGCCCGCTGCCTATTTTGATTTAAAACTTCACTGGGTGAGTTGGGCTTAAACACAATTTTGCTGCATGTCAGCTTAATACAATGGGAAAGAGCTGCAGGTCTCACACCTTTACCATGTTGGTGAAACCTAAGAGCAAAGATATAGTGCAGACAAACCTAAAACTATAATCGTAGACAACCACAATTTGAACCCACTGTCTAAGCTTTCCAGCATGCCTAATCTCTGAAAAACTAAAAGCTGTACCTTAGATAATAAAGTATAATGGATAACATATATTTTTCACAAGGTTCAGACTCTGAATCTGGAGTACTGTTCAAGCCTTGGTCCCTTTCAACAATGTGATGTGGGCCCGATCCACAAATTGTTCGTAATGTTACAACCTGTCGTAACTCTATAGCTTACTGTAGGCTTACGAATGCCTTAGCGCTACGAACATTTGGTGGATCGGGACCTTGATTGCTATCATGATTATTAATGTATTCTGCAACACACACATACAATAGTTGTAACACAAACAAGGTTCAGTGAAATGCGGACCTGCATGTTACTATAAGAATCAAAGTTTTCAACTCACGATCCACGCTCGACAATCTCCCCCTCTTCCAGTACGAGGATCTGGTTGGCGTTGATGACTGTGGAGAGTCGATGGGCTACCACCAGTGTGGTCTTGTTCTCACTCACTCGGGCCAGAGACGCCTGGATGTTCCGCTCTGTCTTAGTGTCCAGAGCTGATGTAGCCTGCAAACATGGAACGTAACATAATGAGCAGGCCTAATGTTGCACCGGAGTTGTAGCTACTCTTGCAAGTTTAAACTGTGTTGTAGCTATCGTCGAGGGGTTCACCGTTTTCTAGCTAATGTGTTGTAGCTAATATTGCTGGATTCACAGTGATGCAGGTAATGTCATGGGCATCAGTGTGTTGTATCTAATGTCATGGGGCTCAGTGTGTTGTAGCTAATGTCATGGGCCTCAGTGTGTTGTAGCTAATGTCATGGGGCTCAGTGTGGTGTAGCTAATGTCATGGGGCTCAGTGTGTTGTAGTTAATGTCATGGGGATCAGTGTGGTGTAGCTTAATGTCATGGGGCTCAGTGTGGTGTAGCTAATGTCATGGGGCTCAGTGTGGTGTAGTTAATGTCATGGGGCTCAGTGTGGTGTAGCTTATGTCATGGGGCTCAGTGTGGTGTAGTTAATGTCATGGGGCTCAGTGTGGTGTAGTTAATGTCATGGGGCTCAGTGTGGTGTAGCTTATGTCATGGGGCTCAGTGTGGTGTAGCTTATGTCATGGGGCTCAGTGTGGTGTAGCTTATGTCATGGTGATCAGTGTGGTGTAGCTTATGTCATGGGGCTCAGTGTGGTATATATAGCTAATGTCATGGGCATCAGTGTGGTGTAGCTTATGTCATGGGGCTCAGTGTGGTATAGCTAATGTCATGGGGCTCAGTGTGGTGTAGCTTATGTCATGGTGATCAGTGTGGTGTAGCTCATGTCATAGGCATCAGTGTGTTGTAGCTAATGTCATGGGGCTCAGTGTGGTGTAGCTAATGTCATGGGGCTCAGTGTGGTGTAGTTAATGTCATGGGCCTCAGTGTGTTGTAGCTAATGTCATGGGGCTCAGTGTGGTGTAGCTAATGTCATGGGGTTCAGTGTGGTGTAACTAATGTCATGGGGCTCAGTGTGTTGTAGCTAATGTCATGAGGCTCAGTGTGTTGTAGCTAATGTCATGGGGCTCAGTGTGGTGTAGCTAATGTCATGGGGTTCAGTGTGGTGTAACTAATGTCATGGGGCTCAGTGTGTTGTAGCTAATGTCATGAGGCTCAGTGTGGTGTAGCTAATTATAATGTCATGGGCATCAGTGTGTTGTAGCTAATGTCATGGGGCTCAGTGTGGTGTAGCTAATGTCAGTGTGTTTACTATGTTGTAGCTTATGTTATGGGGGAGATTATTGTGGTAGGAGCCTCGCTTGTACCTCATCCAGCAGCACGATAGCAGGAGCTTTCAGCATCGTCCTGGCAATGGCCACTCTCTGTTTCTCTCCCCCACTCAGCTTCAGACCTCGCTCTCCAACTACCGTCTCATAGGCTGCAAACATCAATAATGTCAGTGTACACACCTTAATATCAGTTCAGAAATTATCACACAACAGAATATTTTCATTTTTAACAGAAGTTCCCTTAGCTGTCAACTTTCATAACCAGTTTTGATGCCAACAGTACATCTTGTGATCACTATGTCACATGCATTTAACACCCCTAACACTGCCAGAGGTTTCTACTTCATAGCTTCAGAAACTTTCAAGAAAATGAAGACCAACAATAACTTTGACAATAGGTCTAAAACAGTGAAGCTGCTGCTGGAATGGCCATGTTGAAAATGAAATCTAAACTTTTTAAGATTTCCTCAGGCTGGATCATTGCTGCTTGTTGTGTAAAGCCGCACTCAGCAATATTCCAGCTATATGGCATCGGTCTGTAAATAATCGAATCAGGACCAGACAAGCCAGTGATCAACAAAACAAACATTGATCTATACAATGATGACAGTGTCAGTCATAACTGTTATATACGTTACAATCCTGCAATTCACCATGTCGTCCTCACCATTAGGAAAACCAAGGATTCTGTGATGGATGTCGGCAAAGGTAGCAGCTTCGTACACATCTTCGTCAGACGCTTCAACCTTGCCATACCGGATGTTGTACCTAAAAATGTAATTTTCTGACTAAAATTGATATTTTATACTTATCCTGACTCATGCTAATTATGCTTGTCTCCTTCCTCTTGCGAATGATAGTGGAACACTTGAAATCCCTTGAAGTTCCCTTTAAAAAAGCGGACATAAAATCACTCACCCAAGAGTAGCGTCCCTTTCCTCCCTTTGGCGCCCAAATGGTCACATGATCGGCCACATTTGTCACTCTCTCCGTATGTAAGCCCAACACCCGGATTTAAAGGGAAAGTCAGAGTGCCATAAGAGGGGAGGTTGGGAGGGCTGACCTCATGAGTCAGGATAAGTATATAATATCAATTTTAGTCAGACAATGACACATTTTTCCTTATCCTGACTCATGCTAATTATGGTTGCAGAATCCGTCGGAAACGGTGGTGGGTCAAGCCACGTTCTGGAAGCCACGTTCTGGATTCACTGGTTGTAGATTTACGCCCTGTATTACCCCCCATGGGAACTTATGACGGCACTGTTGAAGATTCTTTCAACTTCTCTCTGATGAGTCTGGGGGGACCACAACTTGTCAGATTTCTTCCGAAACTTCTCCAGACATTTTCATGTGGATTTTAGATGTACTAATATTCCATTAGTTATCTAATACAACTCCATCTCTTGATGCGCACATCAAGTGGAGATGCGACCCTTCTTCATGTACGAGTATGTCCTATACAAGTACAGGGTCTATCACTCAAGCTAGTCTGTCCTAGACGTGTGCATGGACTTATAGTCATTGCTCTCCAGAGCGTTGGTTTTCACAAGTCACATGATAAAAGAGGTGAGATTTACTCAGCGCCTTTGTGGGTCCGTTAGTTGTTGTGCTACAACAGGTGGCCCCAACTGGTGAATGCCTGAGACGTCTTCAGTGGCAATGTCTCTGAGGTAGTGGTTGGCAAACACTGTGTTCGATCTCCAAAAGCAGCCCTCCATTATAGTTGTAATCGAGCAGTTCCCATGCAGAGCAAGTGTTGATGCCAGGGCCCTGACTTCGTGGGGATTGGAGGCTCGTGGAGGCTCAAGTCCTACTGCTTTATAGGCCCTTAGTATAACGGCTCTCATCCAGATCGATATCGTTGTCCTAGAAACTTCCGTAGGCGTCTCAGTGGATAAGGGGATGAATAGGCGCTTGAATTTTCGTCTCCTTCTTTAGTTCTTTGTAAGTAGACTTTAGTGCTCTGACTAGGCATAAGGATAGATCCTGCATATCTTGTGTCCCAAGGACTGTAGATAGTGCTGGGATGTGGAACTGTCTGTCAGGCTGTCCAGGCAGTTGGTTCTAAGCGATAAAGTCCCATCTCAGTCCCAGATGTATGATGTCACGATGTCTTGATTCAAATCATGTTCGTTCAAAGTCCAGAGCATGTATTTCTGACATCCTTGCAGCTGTTGCTAGGGCGATGAGAAACAGCATTTTCTGAGTTAGTAGTTCAAAGGATGTCCGTTCTAGAGGCTCGTAGGAATCACTGGTGAGATGTTGTAGAACCATGTTGAGATCCCAGGCAGGAGCCTTGAATTTCTTTTGTTGGTCTTCCAACTTGAACGAGCGTAGTGGTGCCAGAATCTCTGGTACTTTGGTCAGCTTGATACCCGTTTTCATGGTGATAACTGTACTGAGGGCAGCTCAGTACGTTGAGAGTGTTGAACCTTTTAAGTATCTCGTCTGTCGTAGATGACATAAGTATTCCGCCACTTGAGGATGTGTTGCTTTCACCGCTGTAAAGCCTTTCCTCTTTGCATATTGTTCAAATCTCTGCCACTTGTCGTCGTACAAGTTGCAAGTTGATCTGCATAGAGCTAGTGTTACTTCTTTCGCTGCTCTGGCGGAGTACCCTCTAGTCTTCAGGCAGGCTTTAATACGCTCCACGCGTGTAGCTGGAACAGTGTCGGGTTCCCGTGAGCTTGCTTGGTGTGTGGATGGACGAGTAGGTTCAGGTTGGACTTCCGAGTTCTTGTATGAGGACGGGAAACCATACCCTCGCTGGCCAGTAGGGAGCGACCAAAATCAGTTGCAACGTAGTCGTCTGCTTGATTTTCTGTAGTACTTGTGGTAAAAGTGCAGGAGGCGGAAACGCGTAAGCGTTAAGTCCTTCCTATGAGATGCTTAGAGCATCTGTTGCCCATGCCTGAGGATCTGGAATCGGTGAGACGAACGTTGGTAGTTGTTTGTTGAACTTTGTTGCAAACAGGTCTATAAGTGGGGATCCTAAAGTCTGTCTGATGAACTGGAATGCTTCTGGCAACATCCATTCCGTCGGGGATGGTTGTAGTGGACGAGATAGGGCGTCTGCTATGACATTCTTTGCTCCCGGAATGTGGCATGCCTTCATGTAGATGTTCAGGTCGTCGACGATGCTGAACAGGAGAAAGCTGAGTTGTAGCAGACTTGTTGATCTTGTTGACCATTGTTTGTTGATGTAAAACGCCATGTGGAGTTGTCCGTGTGTACCATGAGTCGTGCGTTCTTTAGTACGCTGGACCAATGTTGTAAAGCGTTGATTACTGCTTTCATCTCCAACAGATTGATGTGCGACTTCTGATCCTGACTCGACCACTTCCCTGCTGCCACTTCATTGTTGAAGTGCGCACCCCATCCTTGAAGGGAGGCATCCACATAAAGATGATTGTTGCAAACCGGCTCTGACAAAAAGGTCCCTCCGCAAACGTTCGACTTCCGAGTCCACCATAGGAGATATGGTTTCAGGCTGTCCGGTAGTATTAACGGATCTAGGCTGTCTAGGTGGGCTATAATCTCCCTCTGGGAGTCATGTCTTGAGCTGAGGTGGGTAGACCGAGCATGCTTTGCCAAGCACGTAGTGTCAACGGAGAGAGCAATGCTTGAGATCTCATCTGTTGTATTTTGACCCAACGATCCTCTGGAACGACTATACGATTCACTGGTGTGATGAGTCGAATTCCTAAGAATTGTAGATCATGTTTCGGCTCCAGTTCCGACTTGGAGATTCACTAGCCATCCTAGTTGAGTGAGCCGCCTGATGGTGAAGTCTAGTTGCAGTCTGATTGACTGGGATCTTGATGAGCTTGAATCCCGTCGTCCAGGTAGAAAGCACTGCGTAGACCTCTACGATGTAGATATGTGATGATGGGCTTGGTCACTAGAGTAAACAACCAGGGGGCCGACGAATATTCCAAACGGTAGAACCTTCCACTGGAAGTGCTGTCTGTTGAAAAGGAAACGTAGGTATTTCCTTGAGTCTGGATGTATCGGGATGTGTAGGTACGCATCTTGCAGATCTATGCTGGCGAGGTAGTCTGATGGACGAACGAGATGTCGGAGCTGAGGAAGATGTATCATCTTGAATTTTGCTGGTCTGCGTAGATACTCCCGGTTGTTGAACTTCCTCATGTTGTAGATGAGCCAAAATTTCTCCTTGGAATTCTTCTTCGGTACCAGGAAAATTGGGGAGTAGAACCCGGGCGTGATGGGATCTTGATCTATCTCTTCTACTGCCTCTTTGTCGAGTAGGGTCTTGATAGCGTCATCCAGTTCCTCTATCTGGTCAGCTGCGTAGTTGAAAGCCCTCAGGTTGCTTGTGAGCGGTGGAGTGGCTTCCAACTGTGTCATGTACCCTCTGCGCAGTATCTGGGATACATAGTCGTCCTGTTGTATCCTCCAATTCTCCCAGTACCGTTGAAGACGTCAACCCACTGTCGAAGGTTGCACAGGAACGGATTGGGGTGGAAGACTCCAGTCGTTCCGGAACTTGGCCCCTTCCGGGGTTACCTCTAGGAGCTCCGGTTGGGCGACGAAAGGAGCCTCTTCCTCCTATCATACTGGAATACTTCATTTCTCTGGCTCTCTAGACTCCTGCAAACTTAGATTTGTTGGAGTAGCGTTGGGACGTCTGCCAAATCATGTTAGCCAAAGTGTCGATGGATTTAATCATCATAACTTCCCTAGAGTCGTGAGAGACTTCTCTGGTGACTTCTTTAATTCCTCCTACGAAGATGTAAAATGATGACCATGGGGCTCTGTATAAAGACTTGGTGAAGCGTTCACTCCAAGTGCATGCTGACAATAACCCTTGTCTTCTCAGGAGAGTCAAGCCCACTGAGGTGGATGCTAGGTGATCCGACATAAATTGATGGTCTCTCTTCTGCATAAGTAGAGCGGACTATATCATTCTTGAACTTTGAGATGAGTGTTTCGTTGATGTCTTTGGGCATCTTGTAGGTAAAGGGCCTCATCTGTGTCCTTAGAAGGTGATGATAAGTCCAAGCCAATGGCGATCCAGGAGTTAATTTCCCCTATCTGAGAAGACGCCTTTACCTTCATCCTCTGATTTAGAAATTTCTCGCTCTAAGGATGCACAACGACTTGAGTCTCTATAGGATGATCTATAAGATAGCTTCGCGCAGGCGATCGATCCCGATGTGATCTTGAATCTTTCCTGGAGATTTGAGATATTTCTCTTGATCTTCGCGAAGGTGGATTCCTGGACGTAGTTTCCCCTCTGTAGGAGTGTCTTCGCGCAGGCTCTTGATGGGCGTCAGAGTCCGATGGAGATGAGGACTCATATCTGCGAAGTCTGTAGGGTTCGGATGAGTGCCTTGATTCCTTCCTGCGTGGAGACTTCTTAGCAACACTCTCTGGGGCGTCTACTTCAGAAGGGGCAGATCGTCGTGTCCAAGAGCCTTTGCGCAGGCTTCTCTCTTCATCCAGATGTGGTGGGGAGACTGTAGAGCCTTCAAGCAGGCTAGGAGACGTTGTAGCGGTCTTCATAGCAGCCTTCTCTTGAGCGAAGCGACGTTCCATCATCAACATCATCTGGTCTGTAAACTGTTGCATGAACAGTCCCAGGTTGAAGTTCTGCGTTGTATGAAGAGATTGCTGCAGGGATGATGCATCTGATACTGAAGAGACGTCATCTAAGGCTCGCTGCACTCGTGAAGAGTTGACGCTGCTGCTATCTCTGGTACCCGATGTCTGCGTTGATACCAGTGCCGATGTAGCTGTAGAAGCAGGCTTCGTCTTCTTACTGACGATGGTGACTTCAGGTATGAGGATGGGTGGATCATCATAAACATCTGCTTCTTCCGGAGGAACAATCTCGGCTGAGAAAGACCTCGTCTTCTGAGTAGAGCTGATCTTAGACTTCGCTGAAGTCTTCATAGTAGTAGCCTTCTTCTTCTGCGAAGATGAAGATTTGGCCTTCTTTATCTGCGATGAGGTCAGCTCAGTAGACGATGATCTCTTATGGCCTCCGGCGTTCACCCCTGGTACATCGACCTGCTCCTGAGAAACGTTCAGCAATTCACTAGAATTATGAATATCTGCAGCAGTGGTTAACACACGGTTATCAGCGCAATCACTGGATTTAGACATGACTTGTGAATACCTACGTACCCAGTCCCTAGCACGTCTATGGATGGAAAAAAGGTAATAAGTAAATTCAACCGAATTTAAATTTACACAAAACACACAGCAAGAGCTGAAAGAACATGAAACAGTGCAATTAGGACATAATAAATGCGGGTCAGCCGCAGACACTCGGTACCTACAACGAATACAAGTTTTCATCAATTGTAAACATGAAGAAAACACATGTCAAACAACGAAAAATTTAGAACAAATTTCAAACCGTGATGTAACAATAATTTTGTAAGGTCCGAAAATATAAAAGGATATGTGCCGTAAAGGGACCCAGGTGCTCTCACAACCGTCCTCAAGGGCGAGAGTCACAAATATGGCCAATCATGTGACCATTTGGGCGCCAAAGGGAGTATAGGGACTCTTGGGTGAGTGATTTTATGTCCACTTTTTTAAAGGGAACTTCAAGGGATTTCAAGTGTTCCACTATCATTCGCAAGAGGAAGGAGACAAGCATAATTAGCATGAGTCAGGATAAGGAAAAATCAAGAAATTTTGTTAAATGCTTTGGAAATGAAGTAGATAATGAAACTAAAATATCACGAAATTAACGCCAATCAAAACAGTGTTCAAGTTAATTGCACTTACAAAGCCATTCATGTACATGTGCACACATCTGTATGTGACTGTTCCTACTAGTCTGGACAAGCTCAAGTAGTATCATGCATATATTCTGAAAGGTTTTAATTCTGTGTGTGTGTGTCCAGATACAAGTTTGCTTGGTTCTTGGTTTGTTGTTTAACGCCACACTCAGCAATATTCCAGCTATGTGGAGGGGGTCTGTAAATAATCGAGTCTGGACCAGACAATCCAGTGATCAACATCATGAGCATCAATCTACGCAATTGAGATACAATGATATGTGTCAACCAAGTCAGCGAGCCTGACCACCTGAACCCGTTAGTCTTCTCTTACAACAAACATGGGTTATTGAAGACCAGTTCTAACCCAGATCTTCACGGGCCCCAGATGCAAGTAATATAGGATTTACTGAATCAAAAGTAAAACATGTTAAATAATCATGCAACATTTTCAATAAATGTCTCCCTTTCATCCAGTTTCACCTGCAGCAGCTATGTGCAAATACGTACTTGATGTCATTGTTAAACAGCACGGTGTCCTGGGGGGACCACGCCTATTTGCTTCCTCAATGACCCCTGGGTCACCTGCAAGATGTAAACAATCTCTGTATCACTGAGGGATTCTGGTATTCATCTTCAATCCGTACCCTGTGTACCTGTGACATATTCTGGCCATCTATAAACACATGTGAGTCTACCTGTGATATATCCTGGTCATCTATAAACACGTGAGTCTACCTGTGATATATCCTGGCCATCTATAAACACATGTCAGTCTACCTGTGATATATCCTGGCCATCTATAAACACATGTCAGTCTACCTGTGATATATCCTGGCCATCTATAAACACATGTCAGTCTACCTGTGATATATCCTGGCCATCTATAAACACATGTCAGTCTACCTGTGATATATCCTGGCCATCTATAAACACATGAGTCTACCTGTGATACATCCTGGCCATCTATAAACACATGTCAATCTACCTGTGATACATCCTGGCCATCTATAAACACATGTCAATCTACCTGTGATACATCCTGGCCATCTATCAACACATGAGTCTACCTGTGATACATCCTGGCCATCTATAAACACATGTCAGTCTACCTGTGATACATCCTGGCCATCCTGGCCATCTATCAACACATGAGTCTACCTGTGATACATCCTGGCCATCTATAAACACATGTCAATCTACCTGTGATACATCCTGGCCATCTATCAACACATGTCAGTCTACCTGTGATAGTCTATCCTGGCCATCTATAAACACATGTCAATCTACCTGATGATACATCCTGGATACATCCTGGCCATCTATCAACACATGAGTCTACCTGTGATACATCCTGGCCATCTATAAACACATGTCATCTACCTGTGATACATCCTGGCCATCTATCATCTATCAACACATGAGTACCTACCTGTGATACATCCTGGCCATCTATAAACACATGTCAATCTACCTGTGATACATCCTGGCCATCTATCAACACATGAGTCTACCTGTGATACATCCTGGCCATCTATAAACACATGTCAATCTACCTGTGATACATCCTGGCCATCTATCAACACATGAGTCTACCTGTGATACATCCTGGCCATCTATAAACACATGTCAGTCTACCTGTGATACATCCTGGCCATCTATAAACACATGTCAGTCTACCTGTGATACATCCTGGCCATCTATAAACACATGTCAGTCTACCTGTGATACATCCTGGCCATCTATCAACACATGAGTCTACCTGTGATACATCCTGGCCATCTATAAACACATGTCAATCTACCTGTGATACATCCTGGCCATCTATCAACACATGAGTCTACCTGTGATACATCCTGGCCATCTATAAACACATGTCAGTCTACCTGTGATACATCCTGGCCATCTATCAACACATGAGTCTACCTGTGATACATCCTGGCCATCTATAAACACACATGAGTCTACCTGTGATACATCCTGGCCATCTATAAACACATGTCAGTCTACCTGTGATACATCCTGGCCATCATCTATCACACACATCTATAAACACATGAGTCTACCTGTGATACATCCTGGCCATCTATAAACACATGAGTCTACCTGTGATACATCCTGGCCATCTATAAACACATGAGTCTACCTGTGATACATCCTGGCCATCTATAAACACAGTTCCCTTGTTGACGTCATAGAAGCGGAACAGCAGCCGGATTACTGTGCTCTTTCCACTCCCTGTGTGGCCCACCTAAACACAGAGACACATAACGGTCAGTCAGAGGGGGAGTGGCTGAGTGGGCTGGTGGTTATATTAACAGAGAGGGAGGATGGATATGGATGGATGGCTGAGTGAGCAGAAAGGTGTACTGATCGACAGATGAGTGGGTGGGTGAGAGGTGGGTGAGTGCAGGTGGGTGACAGAGTTTGGGTTTAGCGGTCGGGTGAGCAATATTCCAGCAATATCAGAGGGGACAGGTGGGTGGGTGGTGGGCACACATGGGTACCCAGGTGGGTGAGCAGGTGGGTGAAGTAGGTGGGTCATCGGGTGGTGGTAGGTTGCGGAGCGCTTGGGTCTCTAGGTGGGTGATAGGTGGGTGGGCAGGTGGGTGGCTTCCTGATGGTGAGCAGGGTGGGTGGGTAGGTGGGTGAGTAGGTGGGTGAGCAGGTGGTGAGAAGGTGGGTGAAAGGGTGAGTGAAATGGGTGAGTGGGTGGGGCTGGATGGGAAAGTGGCTATAAAGATGGACTGATTGGTGAATGGATGGGTGATTGGTGAGTACGTAAATTACCAAGTGCGTGAATGGATGGGTGATTGGTGGGTAGGTGAATTAGCAAGTGAATGAGAGGATGGGTGATTGGTGGGTAGGTGAATTAGCAAGTGAGTGAATGGATGGGTGTTTGGTGGGTAGGTGAATTAGCAAGTGAGTGAATGGATGGGTGATTGGTGAGTAGGTGAATTAGCAAGTGAGTGAATGGATGGGTGATTGGTGAGTAGGTGAATTAGCACATGAGTGTATGGATGGGTGATTGGTTAGTAGGTGAATTAGCACATGAGTGAATGGATGGGTGATTGGTGAGTAGGTGAATTAGCACATGAGTGAATGGATGGGTGATTGGTGAGTAGGTGAATTAGCACATGAGTGAATGGATTACTGATTGGTGAGTAGGTGAATAAGCACATGAGTGAATGAATGGGTGATTGGTGAGTAGGGGAATTAGCAAGTGAGTGAATGAATGGGTGATTGGTGAGTAGGGGAATTAGCAAGTGAATGAGTGGATTGGTGAGCAGGTGAATTAGCAAGTGAGTGAATGGATGGGTGATTGGTGAGTAGGTGAATTAGCAACTCAGTGTGTGGATGGGTGATTGGTGAGCAGGTGAATTAGCAAGTGAGTCAATGAATGGGTGATTGGTGAGTAGGTGAATTAGCAAGTGAGTGAGTGGATGGGTGATTGCGTGGAAGGGTGAATGGATGCAGGGATGTAAGTGTCAATGGGTGTGGAATTGGTTGGATGTACAGCGGGGATGGATGATGGATGGATGTAGGAGTTTGTTGATGTGAGTGACTTTGTTGAGGTTGGATATTTTTTATCTTCCATGTTAGGACAAAGAGAGGGAGAGTATGGAACACAATTAATTAAACATTTTTCAACCATTAACAAGCATGCAATTCAATTATATATTTCAGGTGAGCTGAAAACACTTGTCTTAATTACCTTTCAAAAATCTTCACATTGCATAAAAATAGATGTTTTTAAACATATTGTTTACTCAAACAGTATTTCGGGAAGGATTAGAGTTTCAGACGTAATAATAGCATTCAAGAAGCTGGTATCTGCAGTGCACTCTCACCAAAGCAAACGTTTGTCCTGGTGGTACAGTGAAACTGATGTTTTTCAGTATCTGCTTCCTGAAATAGCAAACAGAAATACAGGTGAGCTTCAGGAGGAAGATGTAAAAGTTATGATTTAAATATGAGTACAGTCATAGATCACGAGTTCAATTATACTGCTGTACAACTGAAATCTTCTCCAGAGGGGAGTGGAGTCGTCCCCAAGTGGTTAAAATATTTGCTTGGCACACCAAAGATCCGCTTCAATTCCCCAAATGGGTACAATGTGTGAAGCCGATTTCTGGTGTCCCCCACCATGATATTGCTAAAATAGTGCTAAAAGCAGTGTAAAACTAAAGTCACTCACTCACTGTTCTCGAGGCAAGAGTGTCCACTAGCAAATTTATCAAAGTGTTCACTGGACTACGATAAATATGCAAGAGGACAGACTTGCCTCCTGAAGAGGAACCGAGATTCACAATATGAACAAATGACTGACTGACTGAGTTTGGTTTTACGCCGCTTTTAGCAATATTCCAGCAACATCACGTCGGGGGACACCAGAAATGGGCTTCACACATTGTGCCCATGTGGGGATTCGAACTGAGTATTATTGTTATGCTGGAAATAACAGTCAGGAAGATCAGTGGTTAATACCAAGAGCAGGATACTATCGACCAGACAACATATTATGACATTGTAGCATGCAAGAATCCCTGGTGGCTGAGTGGGTTAGATTGCTAACTATGCTGGTGATTAGGGCCTGACTCTGAGTGTGGGTTCGAATCCCGGATAGGACTCAACTTTAACATGTCCAAGAATCTGTACTTTACTGAGGAAGATTAATCCCAAATGTAACAGATGTTACATTTGACTTTCTGGAAAGGCACTATGTATTCTGGACATTTACATTCTATGTAAATATTTTGAGACAGTAAGTGACTTCTATTTCAATACAAAATAAACCTATTGCCCATATCATATAAAAAAAACATTCTTCAAGAATGCATCCCATGTCCAAATTAGCATAAATATTATGGCCCACAAATACATTTAAGAGGGAAATGCTTGAAGGCACTGCCTCAGCAGAACACTGACGATTATGATGATTTAGGGTAGACATACGCAGGGTCGTAGTGGAAGCTGACGTTGAGGAACTCAATCTGTCCTTCCTTCAACACAAGGTCTGGGGCACCGGGTTTGTCAGTCACCTGGACATGGAAACAGTAACATGGTTATAGAAATGTCCCATCAACAGATACATGAACAGTGATTTTCCATACACCTGACTGGAGCTATGCAACCTGTTTCGATACTGCGAGCCGATGGTATGTTAAATTTGCTGTTTCTACTGAAGGTTCAGATCACATTTCCCATCTTTCACCAAAACAATGGAACAATCATCTGGTTATTGTTTAACACCAAACTTATATTCCAGCTATTTAGTGGCTATGATGGGGTAGCCTTGCGGTTAAAGCTTTCACTCATCACGCCAAAGACCTGGGTTCAATCCCCCACATGGGTACAATGTGTGAAACCATTTTCTGGTTTCCCCACCATGACATTGCTGGAATATAGCTAAAGCGGCGTAAAACTAAACTCACTCACTCTAACTATATGACAGTGGTCTGGCCAGACAATCCAATTGTCTGGGCCAGACAATCTGGTGATCGATAGTCAACAATTTGTTTGGGTATGATGATGGGCCATCAGTCAAGTGACCAATGCTGACCACCTGACTCTAGTTGACTTTCATACATGTCCACAGAATTGTCGTCACTAAGCTTCAATCTTAAACTGCAGGGGTACAAACCTCACAATTTTCTTCAAGAAGTTCAAACATGTTCTCCATATCGATAAATGCCTGCTGGATCATTCTGAAACACAGAATAGACACAGGGGTGTGAGTAGGAAGGAGTGGCTACTTGTGTTGTACCTCATATGTACCGTATAATGAAAGCTGATCACATGATCACAATCATCTGCAGCTAATCACACAGACCAAACCCCATCCAGTTCATCATACAGACCTATCACAATATAGTGAAAATCAGTGTGTTTTGTGTAATTGCTTTAAATGGTTTTTCAGTCATATCATTGTGTGCAAGCTAAATGAGGAATAAAACTTGATATGATGAGGACATTTACCACTGAAATCAACAAGCAGGTATACGGTGCTGACAAACAGATCATAGGCAGGGGGTGGAGACGTGCACACCACCCCTTTTGTACTGAAAGTTTATTAAATGACCATTGAAACTCTCATGAAAACGGGTGAAAATGAACTGTGCACCTCCCTTTCTAAAAAAGCTGTATCCGCCCCTGCAGATCTACAACCAGGCTATTCTTGGATTCAATCCCATATTATATGTCAGCCACACCTAGACGCAACTCTGCCCAGCAAATCACCTCACAAAACTGGGCCCCATCTCCGGATCAAGAAAGATGATTTTAAGGGGGGTCACCCATTTTGTTCTGGGGAGACTTAGTGATAGTGTGTGTGTGTGTGTTAGTGTGTGTGTTAGTGTGTGTGTGTGTGCTGTGTGTGTGTGCTGTTAGTGTGTGTGTGTGTGTGTGTGTGTGTGTGTGTGTGTGTGTGTGTGTGTGTGTGTGTGTGTAGTGTGTGTGTGTGTGTTCACATTGTACATGTGTCTCCATAAAAGCATGATCACCCCACCCTAGACATAAATAATGAACGGTCCCTGAGCTTGGCTAAAACTTTGAACAATAAGTACACAGTGTCAGACTGATGTGGGAGGCAAGCCCTAAAGGTAGCAGCTAGTAGATGTGTACCACTTTGGTGAATCAGGGTTGGTGCTAACAAACAAAGACATTGATGGGGTCAAACTAGGTTTTTTTCGTTTATGAAAAAGGGACACAAGTCAGCCAACAGCAGTGTCTAGGATGAAAAGGATTTGGCGCTGATGAACCAACAAATATACTAGGGACAAACTAGGTTTCGAACACACATTCATAGGTTCCTGATACGCAAAAGGGACACAACTCAGCCAACAGCAGTGTCTTAGATGACAAGGATTTGCTGACAAACCAAGAAAAATAATAGGGACAAGCTAGGTTTTGAACACCATGGGTTCCTGGGCCCCGTTCCTCAAAGCGATCGTAGCGCTAAGTTGATCGTAACTCCCATACTTTAACATAGACTTACGACAGTCGTAGCGCTACGATCGCTTTGAGGAACAGGGCCCTGGCATACCCAAGGGCTACAACTCTACACAAGATAATTAAAAGACCAGGTCACCCGAGTCCTTCCCCCACCCTGAACAGACACAAGTAAATCCTTCACCAGTACCTGTAGTACGTCCCCAGCCAGTTGAGGGGAGCATACAGCTGTGCGATGTAGGTGCCAAACAGCACGTAGTCTCCCACTGTTAGCTGGAGTGAGCTGAGACCGTGCACGACAGCGTAGGCACACAGCAACGACCCTGTCAGAGTGCCGATGTTCACGATGAAGTTCTGTCCCAGGTTGAGGAGATTCAGGCTTGCTGTGGACTTCCACTCAGCGGACTAGAAATACAGAAACGAACCTATGGGTGGATACGTCAGGTGCTTATGATATGGAAGGATCATGCATATACATGAATAGTGAGTGAGTGAGTTCAGTATTACGCAGCACCCAGCAATATTCCAGCTATATGGCGGCGGTCTGTAAATAATCGAGTCTGGACCAGACAATCCAGTGATCAACAGCATGAGCATCGATCTACACAATTTGGATATCATGACATGTGTCAACCAAGTCAGCTAGCCTGATCTCCCGATCCCGTTAGTCGCCTCTTACAACAAGTATGGGTTACTGAAGACCAATTCCAACCTGAATCTTCACGAGTCTATACATGAATAAGGTTAATCTAGGAAAGGACTAGAAATATAGATATGAGTTGAACCTATGGGTTGAACCTATGGGTTGAACCTTTGGGTTGAACCTTAGGGTTGAAGCTATGGGTGGATACAACAGGTTTTTGGATCAGACATCTAAGTTTAATTAGACTTCATGAAGCTGACATTTTGGCAGCTAAATCAGTTTTATCAGGGCAGAAGTATCATTTTTCTCCAAGGTGCCACAGAGCACTTACAGAGATGATGAGGTGTGCCCTTTAGACTTAAAGCATTCCAGAATTATAACTCTCGATTCTTCAAAACCCAGTCATGTCATTTCACCATGAGTTGCATAATGTACAAAGTTTGTCCACTTCCATTACATTGACACTGCTCTAACTTGTATAATTTCTGAATAAATGCAAGTTGTTGCTTTCCCTGTGACTAATACTTGTCATGTCACAATGGTAGCGTGCCACTGGAACTGAATCCCAGGAACATCTAACCCCATTTGTTTTATGTGGACAATGACTTACCTGAAAGGCTTTGATGGCTGTATCGTATCTTTGTGTTTCAAACTCTGAAGCCCCATAGTACTTTACCTGTAACCAATCAAAAATTGTCTCAAATCTTCATCGTAATGTCATTACAACACAATGCAACAACAGAGAGAATTTGTTCGCAAGGACTCCATTAAATATAACTGTCAACCAAGTGTCTTTGACATCGGATACACAGACCTGCTGGTCATATCCTTTACTGGTGACATGTGACCACAGTGAGACCCTGTTAGTAAGGACGCCTTTCAGTGAATCTCAATCAAGCATCTTTTGATACCAAATACATAAACTCACTGGGGACATCCGTGACTGGCAACATGTGACCACAGTGAGACCCTGTTAGTAAGGACTCCTTTCAATCAGAATCTCAATCAAGCATCTTTTGATACCAAATACATAAACTCACTGGGGACATCCATGACTGGCAACATGTGACCACAGTGAGACCCCTGTTAGTAAGGAGTAATCAAGCATCTTTTGATACCAAATACATAAACTCACTGGGGACTCCTTTCAATTAGAATCTCAATCAAGCATCTTTTGATACCAAATACATAAACTCACTGGGGACATCCGTGACTGGCAACATGTGACCACAGTGAGACCCTGTTAGTAAGGACTCCTTTCAATCAGAATCTCAATCAAGCATCTTTTGATACCAAATACATAAACTCACTGGGGACATCCATGACTGGCAACATGTGACCACAGTGAGACCCTGTTAGTAAGGACTCCTTTCAATCAGAATCTCAATCAAGCATCTTTTGATACCAAATACATAAACTCACTGGGGACATCCGTGACTGGGACATCCTGTTAGTAAGGACTCCTTTCAATCAGAATCTCAATCAAGCATCTTTGATACCACATAAACTCACTGGGGACATCCGTGACTGGCAACATGTGACCACAGTGAGACCCTGTTAGTAAGGACTCCTTTCAATTGAGAATCTCAATCAAGCATCTTTTGATACCAAATACATAAACTCACTGGGGACATCCGTGACTGGCAACATGTGACCACAGTGAGACCCTGTTAGTAAGGACTCCTTTCAATCAGAATCTCAATCAAGCATCTTTTGATACCAAATACATAACACACTGGGGAGAACCATCAATGGCAAGATCCATCAATCAGAATCTCAATCAAGCATCTTTTGATACCAAATACAAAACTCAATGGCAAGATCCATCAATGGCGACGCAGAGCGCCAGCAGCAGTAAAGCCAACACGATCACCAACTTACAGTTTCAAAGTTCAACAGGGAGTCTACAGCCTTGGCATTAGCTTCATTGTCCAGTTTGTTGGTGAGGCGGAGGAACTTGGTCCTCCATTCGGTTATCAGGAAGGTGTAAGCTGGGCAAGGAGGAAAACATTTGTGGGATGCAAATATTTACAAGTTGTAGACTTTTGTAACCTTGCTTCGTGTATATTAGGGAAGTGCGGCGGAAATCATATTTTAAATGCACGATTTCATTTTGTATACTCACTTATTATTTTATCCATTGATCCATCAAATTAAAAATGCCTAATATTCCACTCATGAATGAAACGTTTGTTTACCGAAGCCACTTGCAATCATCACCCATTCGTGTGCACACACAATGTGGCGTGACCTTGGTTCGTGGATCACGTAATCCGTTACTATATATCACTATGTACGACAGCCCTTTGCAGTAAGTATTGACACTTAGGAGTGAGTGAGGGAGTTTAGTTTTACGCCGCACTCAGCAATATTCCAGTTATATGGTGGCAGTCTGTAAATAATCGAGTCTGGACCAGACAATCCAGTTATCAACATCATGAGCATCGACCTGCCCAGTTGAGAACTGATGACATGTGTCAACCAAGCCAGCGAGTCTGACCACCCCATCCCGTTAGTCGCCTCTTACGACAAGCATGGGTTACTGAAGGTTCATTTTAACCCGGACCTTCACGGGGTGAAACCTAGGAAAGCAGACGACGAGATGTGAGGAGGTTGGGGCTAATGGTAACAATTTTACTTAACATTTTATCAAAATAAAATTTGGTATTAGTGGCATTAGTGATTTGGGGCTATTTATCTCAGTGCTGAGATTTAGATTTAGTGGATTTACGTGTAATGCAGAGACATTCTTGTCAGCGAGGTGTGGCATTGTGTGCACATCAAAAGTACCGCTTCATGACGTCATACAAGACTTACCGGTAATTTAATTACCACAAGGCAATGAACAAAAACATGTCTTTAAAAAACTTTGTGGGTGGTGGGAGTTACGGGAACAGCAGGACATGCTTAGATTTCTTCAACACCTGGTGTCTTCACTCATTACTGACTTGGAGTTATCTATTCATGTGATTGTCATAACTTTTGTACCTTCTATGCTAAATGGAATCCATTTGGCAGATACTCAATCCCAAATACTCTTTGGTGAAGATGTTTCTTATTTATATTCGGATGTTACACAGAACAAATTGATGGTGTTTTAAGAAAGGGCAGCTCAGCAGTATAAGGTTTCCAAATTCCTGTGCAGAGCTGCACACCCACCCTTTAGTCCTGAAAGTTTATTAAATGACCAATGAAAGTCTCATGAAAACGGGTGAAAATGAACTGTGCACCTGAACTGTGGACCCCCAACCCCTTTCTCATAAAGCTGTATCCGCCCCTGTAGTATGTAATGTCTGGACCTCTAAAACTTGAAGTTTTCCTGTCACATTTAGCTGGAAAGCTGTGATATAACTGGAATACTGTCAAGTGCCAATAAAATCACATTCACTCTCACTCACTCATTCACTTATAGAAATATGAAACCGCCTCCGTGGTGTAGTGGTTAGAGCGTCCGCCCTGAGAGCGGAAGGTTGCGGGTTGATCCCCGACCGCGTCATACCAAAAGACGTTAAAATATGGTACTTGTTGGTCCCTGCCTGGCGCTCGGCATTAATGGGTACAACAAGGACTGGTCGGCTCGGAGTCAGTATAATGTCTGAGTGGGGTATTCATGCTTCACTGCGGCATGGTATCTCAGTGGGCTAGCACTATAAAACCAGCTTCAGTCTGGGCTAGTACAAGCAGCCGCACATACACATACACACGCATACACGTCGTCATATGAGCCAAATATTCTCAAGTACGATGTTAAACCCAATTTCACCTAACCTCACCTATAGAAATATCAGAAATGTGTTGAACTAAAGAGAATTTGTTACCACATTTGTGCATGATGTACACACTCACTCAGAAAGAGGGCCATACAGAGGAACACGATGACCCCAAAGATGTAGTTGAAAGCTGTGATGAAGTATACGATAGCAATCACGATGTCAGCGATGGTAGGGACGATGTTGAAGAGGAGGTAGCTGCAACAAGAAGAAAGATAATATGATATCTTGCACAGGGTGGTGCAAGTGGGTGTTGAGGAGCAAGGGCAGAGGGTCAATTTGTTTAGTCACAAGGTATCTGAATCAGGCAGTCTCACAGCTGGTGAGTATATATATTCAGTTTCATATCACAACTCAACTTTTCTATTTCATGCATTTTATCGATTGCTGTACAGTGTTTCATAAATACCCAATGCCACATAGAATGTGATCAAATGTTACAGATGTAATATTTCAAAACATTGAGAAAGTGTACTCCCAAATGTAACATTATAACTTGTTCACTGTCTCGAGGGGGGACATGGGCTGATGGGTGAGGGGAACATAAAGAAACATCGAGGGTACATCAACCCATGGGCCCCGAGGGACCAGTGAACAACGTATTTATCTTACCGAACACCTCAATGGTAATTTTGAACTGTTTGAAGCACGGGTATCGGATCATAGTATGGAGTACCAGATGACAAGAAAAACAATTTAGAGTTATCTCCCTTTCATCGATTTGCATTCGCAAAACAACGATAATTTCCATACATCATACGTGATTCAATGTTATTCGAGATAAAGAACTACTACTATGAAGTACCAAATGAGTTCGGCATTCCCTGCGGGGTATACGTACATAGAAAATGTTCCTCGCTTGTAAGCAGGGTACATTGAAAATAATAGAAGAGCACTCAGCCAATCAAAAAACGACATTTATGTGCGAGGCAAGATAAATGTTATAGTGTTTCGTAATGAGAACCATACTGTGACAATTTATCATTAAAGCTGATGTTTCAGGCTTCATCAAAGATGCTCTGACACAGAATGGGATCTACCTACCTGAGTAGGTTGTTGATGCTGTTGGTGCCTCTGTCCACCACTCGGAGAACCTCTCCAGTCTTCCGCTGTAGATGCCATCGCAGTGACAGTCTGCAGTACAGGGAGTGGTGTTGTAAGATACAGTCTCACCTCACAATACCACAATGAAATACCCTGCCTCAGATAATCATTTAATAACACGTTACCGTCCACTTCAGGTAATGAGAGTTTTCTCGGGTTATGCTGTAGATAGATGGATATTTTTCAGATAGATCTCGTAGTTATTGTAGGTATGGTGGGTGGACTTACAGATGGGGGTGGACTTACACATGGGGGGTGGACTTACAGATGGTGGTGGACTTACAGATGGAGGGTGGACTTACAGATGTAGGGTGGACTTACAGATGGGGGTAGGACTTACAGATGGGGGTAGGACTTACAGATGGAGAGATAGATAGATAGATGATCTTCAGATAGATCTTGTAGTTATTGTAGGTATGGTGGGAGGACTTAAAGATAGGGGTGGATTTACCGATGGTGGGTGGATTTACAGATAGGGGTGGACTTACAGATGGAGGGTGGACTTACAGATAGGGGTGAACTTACAGATAGGGGTGGACTTACAGATTGAGGGTGGACTTACAGATGGTGGGTGGATTTACAGATGGAGGGTGGACTTACAGATGGGGTGGATTTACTGATGGAGGGTGGACTTACAGTTAGGGGTGGACTTACAGATGGAGGGTGGATTTACAGATGGAGGGTGGACTTACAGATGGGGTGGATTTACAGATGGAGGGTGGACTTACAGATGGGTTGGACTTACAGATGGAGGGTGGACTTACAGATTGAGGGTGGACTTACAGATGGTGGGTGGATTTACAGATAGAGGGTGGATTTACTGATGAAGAGTGGACTTACAGATAGAGGGTGGACTTACAGATGGAGGGTGGACTTACAGATGGAGGGTGGACTTACAGATGTAGGGTGGACTTACAGATAGGGGTGGACTTACAGATGGGGGTAGGACTTACAGATGGGGGTAGGACTTACAGATGGAGAGATAGATAGATAGATGATCTTCAGATAGATATTGTAGTTATTGTAGGTATGGTGGGAGGACTTAAAGATAGGGGTGGATTTACCGATGGTGGGTGGATTTACAGATAGGGGTGGACTTACAGATGGAGGGTGGACTTACAGATAGGGGTGAACTTACAGATGGGGTGGATTTACTGATGGAGGGTGGACCTACAGATAGGGGTGGACTTACAGATTGAGGGTGGACTTACAGATGGTGGGTGATGGAGGGTGGACTTACAGATGGGGTGGATTTACAGATGGAGGGTGGACTTACAGATAGGGGTGGACTTACAGATGGAGGGTGGACTTACAGATGGTGGGTGGATTTACAGATGGAGGGTGGACTTACAGATGGGGTGGACTTACAGATGGAGGGTGGACTTACAGATGGAGGGTGGACTTACAGATGATGGGTGGATTTACAGATAAGGTGGATTTACTGATGAAGAGTGGACTTACAGATGGAGGGTAGACTTACAGATTGAGGGTGGACTTACAGATAGAGGTGGACTTACAGAAAGGGGTGGACTTACAGATGGAGATATAGACAGATAGATATTCTTCAGATAGATCTTATAGTTATTGTAGGTATGGTGTGTGAACTTAAAGATAGGGGTGGATTTACCGATAGGGGTGGACTTACAGATAGGGGGTGGACTTTCATATGGGGTGGACTTACATATGAGGGTGGACTTACAGACAGGGGTTGATTCATAGATAGGGGTGGACTTACATATGAGGGTGGACTTACTAATGGAGGTTGACTTACAGTTTGGGTGGACTTACATATGGGGGTGGACTTACAGATATTGAGTTGACTTACAGATGGGGGTGGACTTACATATGGGGGTTGACTTACTATGGGGGTGGTGGACTTACTAGTTGGAGGTGGACTTACAGTTTGGGTGGACTTGCTGATGGTGGGTGGACTTACATATGGGGGTGGACTTACAGATGGGTGTGGACTTACAGATGAGGGTGGACTTACAGATGGGTGTGGACTTACAGATGTTGAGTGGACTTACAGATGGGGGTGGACTTACTGATGGAGGTGGGTTTTCAGACAGGAGTGGACTTACTGATGTTGAGTGGACTTACAGATGGGCGTGAACTTACAGATGGGGGTGTGTTTTCAGATGGGGTTGGACTTTCTGATGGAGGTGGACTTACAGATAGGGGTGGACTTACAGATGAGGGTGGACTTACTGATGGTGGGGACTTACATATAGGGGTGGACTTACATATGGGGGTGGACTTACAGATGGGGGTGGACTTACAGATGGGGGTCGACTTACTAATGGAGGTGGATTTACAGTTTGGGTGGACTTACAGATGGGCCTGAACTTACAGATAGGGGGGTGTTTTCAGATGGGAGTGGACTTTCTGATGGAGGTGGACTAACTGATGGGGGTGGAATTACAGATTGAGGGTGGACTTACAGATGTTGAGTGGACTTACAGATGTTGAGTGGACTTACAGATGGTGGTGGACTTACTGATGCAGGTGGTTGAAGAGCTTGACCTGGACTCTCCGGGTGGTAAATTGCTGTACCTTGATCCACAAGAATGATCTAGTGTTGTTAAGTAGCCCAGAAGTTCCTACAATTTAATATCAATGTTGAAGCGAGACATATCAATAAACAGAATATTTATGTCATGTTATACTGATACCAGTACAACTAATTATGAATATTAACCAGTTTGCTCACACATACTCAAACCACACTTCATCTTTCACTCAATGAAGCATTCCTATCTCCTGTACACAAACACTAGTTCATATAATGATCACACCTTGAATCAAACCCAGGAAATCAGCAACATTAAGCAGCATCTGAACCACCAGGCCATCTCACTGTCGGTACCAGTTGCTTACTATTGTCACTAGTTGTGTACTGCTAGTACCTTACCTGCTCCTCCTCCTCTAAGGAAACTGAGTCCCACAAACGCCAAGATGTAGTCCCACCGGAAGGCCAGGGTTGGAGCAGTCAAGTTAGAGTTGTCTCCACTTGTTTCTTTACTGGGCGTCAAGCTGTTGACTGTAAGCCATACAAAGTCTTTTTCAGGACATTTAGTGGAATCAGTTATAATTCTTATTTTTCTCTTTGAACTAAGTCAAATTTCATCTTCAAACTCAGGGATATCAGCCAGGTAGAAATGATTCAAAACAATGTGTACGTCTGTTTTTCTGAAAGAATAGTCTGCCTGATTTACCATTTAGTACAGCAGGAACTTGACCATCAATGTACTATCCAAATCACACTAATAATCCATAGAAGCTCTCAATATCCACTTGGTCCTGGGATCCTGTGTTGCTACTATATATATTTTTCAAACAACAATAAAACAACAGGCTTATAAGTTATATAACAAGGATGTCTATTAATGAGTAAAAAGCTGTACAATTCACTGAAAACCTATTCTGTTTGGATTGCAACTTCATCTTTACAGATGAAGTAATGATAATGGTGTATATTATAATGGCGCAAGTGTCCCCCCCTAGCGCATGCTCACGGCCCAATACAAACATACATAAGAAAACATAACATAATTAATACACAACTGAAGGTATTATATCTTAGATTTTTCACAGAGTGTTTAATAGCTAAAGAGTTCCATGGAAGTGGAGCGACATCCTGGAAGCTCCCCCTTCCAAAAGACAAGAGACGAGTAGGTGGAACTGAAAGTAGATGATCCTGCGAACAGACAGTTCTGAAAGATGCCAGTCCAGAATGTTATACTCACTGATTAGTTTACTGTAGAGAGGGACGAAGACGTTGATGACACGACCCCCAGCCAGGATCAACAGACACATAAACACAGTCAGCTGCAGCACCAGGTTGCCCTTGGGCCAGCAGTACGGGATCATCATCCGCAGCTTCACCATGATGTTGCTCCAGGTGGACGAGGACTGACCGCCGACACCACCACCAGACTGCACACACATGGTAATGCAGAAGAAAGATTTTAAACACCACCACAACTTGGAATTTCTTACAAAATAGTTGAGTCCCAAATAGTTATCAGGGAGCTTAACTAGTTTGTGAATGAGTTGGGTTTTATGCTGTTTTTAGCAATATTCACGCAATATCATGGCGGGGCACTAGAAATAGGCTCCATACAATGTACCAAAGCCCTTCTACATCGTCAGGGACCTCTCTTGAATATTTTACAAACTTCTTAGACTGCATCTGATCATAATGAACAAGTTTGGTTTGTTTAACACAGTCCTTCAGTTATCTAACAGTATCAGCTTGATATGTGCGGAAACCTCAAAGTGATGCAGGTCTAAGCTGTTCAAATATTGAAACAGTCGTGTACACTTTTAGTGCTGACAAACCTAAAAAACACAAACGGTTGAACCCAGATTCGAAGCTATGATCCAAGGAATATGACATTACATGTCCAAGGGGTGCAACTCAGTGTGGTAAATTGCAGGGACCTAGAGAGAGTTGGGTTTTACGATGCTTCATACATTGTACCCATACTGGGGATTCGAACTCGGGTCTTTGGGTTAACGAGCTAACACTTTAACCACAAGCAGCATGCGAAATAGTTTCAAATGTTACTAGCTAGACGGGCTAGCTATGCCTAAAAGTTACTAGCCCACAAAATAATTCACTAGCCCACAAAATAATTCACTAGCCCAAATTCTAAATTTAGAAACTAAGCCAAATATTTAAAAAAATAGATGAGAAGAAGATATGAAGCTGCTAATATGATGAACATTTTTATCAGGCCATGATCTTGCATGATTTATAACTTAACAAGTCAGAGAGAGTGATATATTTACAAAATGACCCCATGAAAATTCACTAGCCAGTCGGCCAGTGTGGAGATTTACTGGCCCGACTGAAATTTTACTAGCCACGGGGTAGTGGCTATTTCACACACTGCACAAGGCTACCCAACGGCCCCTCACAGACTTAGACAACCTACCACCAGGGACCCCACCAAACTAAATGAGGGAAGGACCCATCATATGTCAACTATCTAAAACAACTCGGTGCCAAATTCATTTGAAACTTTGGTCTACAGATTCCTTTGATTGTACACATGTTTGGGTGTAGATGCAAGATGCCAAGAGCCTTCATTTTCAGCTTTTGTCATTTCCACTTGGAACCTTTGTCTCAATCATGTTAATCATTAACCAACAAAGCAGATTAAAGCTGACAGTTCCGCAATATCTCACCATATCATTGACAAGGATGTCGTACTTCATGTGGGAGAGACCTGGAGCCTTAAGTCCCATGATGAACAGAGTGAGGGTGAAGACATACCGCACCACCCAGAAACCAAACTCCAGGTAGTTCTCTGTGCTGCAACACAGAGGTCATCAGTGTGAGTACTGTTAACCCTTCTCCAGCAGTACTACTGATGGGATCAGGGAAATTGGCTTTAAACACTGTATTCATTTCGGGGATCAAACCAGGGTACCAATACCACTCACTCAGACATGTAGCACCTCTACTCACCCCATCCATGTACACCACTACCCACCCCATCAATGTACACCACTACCCACCCCATCCATGTACCACCACTATCAACCCATCCATGTACACCACTACCCACCCCATCCATGTACACCACTACCCACCCCATCCATGCACCACCACTACCCACTCCATCCATGTACACCACTACCCACCCCATCCATGCACCACCACTACCCACCCATCCATGCATCACCACTACCCACCCATCCATGCACCACTATCCATCCATCCATGTACACCACTACCACCATCCATCCATGTACACCACTACCAACCCATCCATGTACACCACTACCAACCCATCCATGTACACCACTACCCACCCCATCCATACACCACTACCCACCCCATCCATGTACACCACTACCCACCCCATCCATGTACACCACTACCCACCCATCCATGCACCACCACTACCCACCCATCCATGCACCACCTCTACTCACCCATCCATGAACCACTACTACCCACCCCATCCATGTACACCACTACCCACCCCATCCATGTACACCACTACCCACTCCATCCATGTACACCACTACCCACCCCATCCATGAACACCACTACCCACCCCATCCATGCACCACCACTACTCCACCCCATCCATGTACACCACTACCCACCCCCATCCCACCACTACCCACCCATCCATGTACCACCACTACCCACTCCATCCATGTACACCACTACCCACCCCCATCCATGTACACCACTACCCACCCATCCATGCACCACCACTACCCACACATCCATGTACCACCACTACCCACCCATCCATGCACCACCACTACCCACCCATCCATGTACCACCATTATCCACCCATCCATGTACCACCACTACTCCACCCATCCATATACCACCACTACCCACCCATCCATGTACCACCACTATCCACCCATCCATGGAATATCACTACCCACCCATCCATGTACCACCACTACCCACACATCCATGCACCACCACTACCCACACATCCATGCACCACCCACCCATCCATGTACCACCACTACCCACCCATCCATGCACCACCACTACTCACCCATCCATATACCACCACTACCCACCCATCCATGTACCACCACTATCCACCCATCCATGGAATATCACTACCCACCCACCCATGTACCACCAGCACCCTTCCATGTCCCACTACTACCCACCCATCCATGTACAACTACTACCCACCCATCCAAGGACCATCACCACCTACCCATCCATGTACCACCACCATCCACCCATCCAAGGACAATCACAACCCAACCATCTATGGACCACCCCTACTCACCCATACATGTACCACCACTACCTACCCACCACTACCCATCCATGTCCTACTACTACTCACCCATCCATGTACCACCACTACTCACCCACCACTACCCACCCATCCATGTCCCACCACTACTCACCCATCCATGTACCACCACCATTTATGACTCCACCATGAAACAAACGCCAGATTCTCCCTGACGAATGCCAGACACCAAAACAGGAGCAGCACTAGTCCATGGCCTCTCGTAGGTATGGACGGCAAGGCGTAGTTCCTCTCCAAGCTCATTAATCTAAGGGAGACAATCCATGCAAACAGCAACAGCATCGCCGTCAGAATCTCATAGCCATACAACTGCTGTCCGAGGGAGGTGTCCTGTATAATCATGTGTAGCAGGGACTCACAAGCCATGAGGGCGGTGATAAGGACCTGTACCACGTACCACCCCGACCAGGGGATGCGGCGGGGCTGTATGAGGGTGGCGTAGCGCCCGTAGAAGAGACACTGAGTCAGACCACATATCATGATGATGATGAACAGAACACCAGCGGATACCGTGTCGAAGAAACATTGGTTGATTCCCTCGTCCACCCACACGGACGTCCACAGCGTGTTGTTTTGGCAGAACAGCATCTTGACTGGCTCACTCAAGGGAGATAACACTGGTAGACAGCCGGTCTATATCTGGAAGTAAAAAGATGTCATGAATGATTATCCTTAACTGAAACTGATGAGATTTGACATCAAGTCTGAGAGTGGTGTCTTTTCATATTCGTTTCAGCAAACAAAATGTGACTTAACAGGGTTACAAAACACAAAGCACTAACTATCCACCACACGAACACACCCCAAATACCCTCCTCATAGAACCCCCGAATCCCTATACCAAAAGGGCATTGGTAGTCTCATATGTGTACCTCATCAATCAATTTTCAGACTAATCTGTAAGAATATTTAAAATCTGCCCCAAACAAACACAACTAAAACAAAATATTCAAAACAATCTGTATTTTCTTGAGTTTAATTCAGATCTCTTTCACAGAAAATAAGATAGAAGTTTGCATAAGTATATTGAACAAACATTATGGATAACAACTTCTTTTGTTTCTTGAGTGCGATATTTTGATACAGATTCTTGTACCGTTGCTGTCGCACTCATGAAATAAAAGACGTTGTTATCCATAAGGTTGTTCAATATAGTACGTCCCAACTTCTAAAAAGCCACTCAACTGACTGACTGAGTTTAGTTTTACGCCGCTTTTAGCAATATTCCAGCAATATCACGGCGGGGGACACCAGAAATGGGCTTAACACATTGTGCCCATGTGGGGAATCGAACCCGGGTCTTCGGCGTGACGAGCCAACGCTTTAACCACTAGGCTACCCCACCGCCCCCAAAAAAGCCACTCAAAGAAGTCTATATAATGAATCAATTACATTGTAGTTACTATCAACGATACTCTCATCCGAAGTTTTCAACCCTTTGTTCATTACGGCTGGGACGATACACCATGTCACGATACGATATGTATCACGATATTTTACCTGCGGTACGATACATATCACGATACATACACCTTGAAAGAATGACACGGTATCAAGATTTAAAATGAATTATTTCAAGGTATTTGTGTTTAACCATAACACTATTGTAACAAACAAACAGGTAACTCTATCATACTTGTGTATTTTTCTCTAAATAAGTACTTTAAGATATTTAAGACAATACTGTTTTGAAAAAAGTTGTGCATTGCTTTGTATCGATACACCAGCCGATGATACAATAGCTGTATCAAACTTAAATGTATCGTGATGTATCAGTGCATCGGTGAATCATCCCAGCCCTATTGTTCATTCACACTGAATCTATTGAAATGGATTCTGCATTTACCACATTAGACTTTAAATGAAATTCAACAAACTACAACATTTAAATGGTTTGTATCACATCTATAGGATCTATCATCACATCAACCCCCATAAAACCAACAACACCATAATATTAGTACCATTGAAATACACACACACACTAAAACTCACACACCAATTCACCCCACTCCCTGTGTGTGTCGAACATTTTTGTCTATTTTACTAATCCAAACGTGACTCTTAGCATAATTTCAGGTTACATTTGTGTTATGTGCGTTAACATTTTTACCCTACTGGACTCAACAGAATTAAACTTAACTTAAGCATCGGACTAATGGCAAAAGCTGACTTCATTCCACTGAAAATTTTCAGCATCCTCTTTCACAAAATCCTAAATCCACCACTGGAGGTGAGGTGAGGTGAATTGGGTTTAACGTCGTGCTTGAGAATATTTTGCTCATATGACGACGTGCATGCGTGTGTATGTGTATGTGCAGCTGCTTGTACTAGCCCAGACTGAAGCTGGTTTTATAGTGCCAGCCCACTGAGATACCATGCCGCAGTGAAGCATGAATACCCCACTCAGACACATTATACTGACTCAGAGCCGACCAGTCCTTGTTGTACCCATTAATGCCGAACGCCAGGCACAGTGACCAACAAGTACCATATTTTAACGTCTCTTGGTATGACGCGGTCGGGGATCAAACCCGCGACCTTCCGCTATCCGGGCGGATGCTCTAACCACTACACCACGGAGGCGGTCTCCACCACTGGATGTAACCATGGTAATAGTTATTGATTTTACGATTAGGGGGCAAAACCAGTTGTTTTAGTGTTTACACCAACATACTATGCATCAACAGCCATCATGGTCATTGTGATATGCATGTTGACAGGCACTCTAAAATATTTGAGAAAGGATAGTTTAAACATGTTAAATGCCATTTCCATAAATACCCTGTTAAACCGACAGTTAATATAACACACTGATAACTACCTAAAAAAAGATGTCACAAAAAGAGGTCATTCTTTCATGCCACATTCATCACACTGAGGGCAAGGTCATACTATACACCAGAAAAGAAACTGGTTATGAAAGAAATCTCATCTCATTAGTGTCAATTTCAGTTATTGTCACCTCAAGCCTTATTAGAGAAAAAGAATCAGCTTCACATGGCTGGTCCTGATGGTAACAGTCAAACCTTAAGGGTCCTCTCTAGTCCCTTTCACTCAACATATACATGTACATTGCAAAATATTATATCTGTGTTTTAGTTTTTGACAAAGCAATATTTCAGATATACGAGATAAGGTAAATCAGATAATGCTTTATTATCTATCAGGAAGTTCTTTTCACATGAATGTGACACATATAGAGAAAAATATTTGAAATATTATCAATAACATGTTATTAAGACAATGTGACAGAAAAAGTGTTAAGCATCTCATTTAATAAAAAAGAGTGTATTTTAAAAAATGATCCACAACAAAAGTTTCAGTTCTGTTTTTTCAAAGGTTCACTTGCTTTGGTTGTTGCTTAACACTGAACACTTGCTTGTTGGTTTGTTGTTTCACGCTGCACTCAGCAATATTCCAGCAACATGGCAGCGGTCTGTATATAATCAAGCCCAGACCTGACAATCGAGTGATCAACAGCATGAGCATGGATCTATGCAACTGGGACACATTGACATGCCAACCAAGTCAGCAAGTCTTACCACCCAATCCACATAGTCGACTTCATACAACAAGCATGGGTTACTGAAGACCAATTCTAACCCGGGTCTTCTCTGGTCTTTTTCAAAGGGCAATGCTAACAGAAAATAAAGACATGTTAGATCTTTTGGATTTTTAATTTCAAACAATTGAAAAAAATCCAGATGGGTAAAATGTCAAAGAAAGATCTATAACATGAGAAAGATCATCCAAAACTCTATCCGCTAAGTTAAGAAAAATACTGACACCCTTAGTTTTGCTTCCTGTAGCAATAATTTCCTGGAGTTAGGTTTTGTTCTGCAGAGAGCACTAAATACACGTGACTTAATACAACTTTGATAATACAACATCATAACAGAGCAGTCATCATTTAGTTATGGGCCTGAAAAATAATTCGCCTTTGACAACGACTGTTTCAATGGACTCACGTATTCGGTGACCTGAATCATATGCCTCCATGAATTCAGTTCATTATTCATGGTCACTAGAATGGAACATTCAGGATGTTTTTAAAAGAAAGAGTGTTTGTCACTTAAACTTGTCTGTTAGTTATCAAAGCGAGATATGAAAAATGGGAAAAAAATGCAAGCAATGCAGTTACTTAAAGGTCACATGCAACGTAAAACACAACTTTGCAGATTCTGATACCTTTCGGTATGGACTTACCGAAACAAATCATCAAAAATGCAAATTCAACTTATAAAGTTGAAAAATAACGCGATGAAAAAAACCGCGCGAAATCGGAGTTCAAACGTTTCACTAATTTTCCCCAGACTTTTCTGGGGAATACGGGTTTCAACAGCTGGGCTGCGCTCATAGCACGTGCGCAGTGAAATAGGTTCGCGCAACTTGGAAGCTAGCTGTCTGGTGAATACTCGGTGAAGGCTTTGGTGTGAGCTATTTTCATAATGTTTTGTTGATATCTTACAGGCTGAAGCTTTTATATGTTATGACAGTAAATAAACTGTTTATATAATTTCATTTGTCTATTTCACCACACGTTCTTCTTACCGAGTCACTTTCTCAGTTCGATACTTTAAAGCAATGTCATTATTTAGCGTTGACAGGATTTCTAACTGTGATATAGATATGTCGCTGTCACAGACAAAACTCAATGTCTTGTTTTATTGACACCTGTGTGTCTGCCTGCCTGTCTGCTAATGACAATATTCAATACACAACTGCGATCACTGACCACATGCAATTTGAACTTAACACCAATCAGGCTATACACCATAAACAAAATGCCCGAGTTCGGTCTCTGTCACATTATGTAATTACACAGACACGCAGGTGTGATACTTGAACACATGACATGTTATGATGTCTGTTGATTGCAAAATGTTATACACAAAAAATGAGCATGTATTTACAAAACCCAACATCTCTATATATACACACACACAATGAGCCGTGAAGACGGCATCTGCTAATGAACCAGCCGTTACACTTGAGTGCACACCCACCCGCTCTGACTGGGTTCGGTATCCCGGCTGCTTCGTTTCGAGGGAGGTAAACCCAAGTACAAAATATTGCACTTTTGATTTGCGATTATACGCTTATAATTTTGTTTATTTGTTTTTTCATAATCAGCAATGCATATTATATGTCATGAAGAAGTGATAATTGTGTCTTAATTATGTTTGATTTTTTGGTTGCATGTGACCTTTAACTTATATCACTTTAGACGCTTACAGTCATGTCAAGCAAAATATTAGGCCATGGCCACTAAGTTGTGACATCATAGGAGGATCCATAGGTGGATGGAGGGGTGCAGGAGGTGCGCATGCACGCACACACTCATGCACACACACACAAACACACACACCATCTTGAAAGTTTATTAAACGACCATTGAGACAAGTGTACTGTGAACCCCCTTTCTCAAGAGAGCGCAGCCCCCTTTCTCACGAGAGTGCACCCCCCTTTCTCAAGAGAGTGCAGCCCCCCTATCTCAAGAGAGTGCACCCCTTCTTTCAAGAGAGTGAAAAATAATTGTTGCGTACCAATTACGCCTTTAAAATGTTAGATACGCAAAAAGTTTAAAACATATGCGTACGGAACATATTTATAAAAATCATGTGCGTAATGAAAAAGACATCAATTGCTATCAAGTTGTACTGTTCGTATAGGACTAGTGTTGTACTGTCAGTATAGGATGAGTGATTTTTTATGAAATCATTTCCATTATATTTAAGTTGGTTTTGATTAGGTATGACATAAGGCAGAACATACCTGCTTAGTAAACTTACTCAATGACGTACTTAGGTGAGTAAAATGTCTGAAATATGCACGTTTGAAAGCAGTGGGTAACGGAAAATGAAATACCCACTCAACATTCATAATATCCATTCCCCAAAAATACATTGGGTACAGTACCCACATGAGCTAAATCTTATCTGGATAAACCTCTGGTTTTTTAGGTAAAAATTGTCAACACAACGTTAACATAGTTATTTTACATGGGTTCAAAGTGTCCATTTCTAGTCTCCATTATTCTGACACTGATGCCACATTGCAAAATCCAGCATACAAACCACACTCACATATAAACAAGATAATTCATTTCAAATTCCTTCATTTTGAGACTCAATAAATATGAAAATACTAATTTATTAGATTTGATGTATTAGACGATGTGCCAGATACTACTCTTTATTTAAGAATATTAATAATCCATTTGTGTGTATAGATGAGGCTGAGGCTATGAAGCTATATACAACAGATGTCACCTTTTGACAGGCGATATGACAACATAACAATAACATATACAGCTATATGGAGAGTATTGTTAAACCTTTGTCGTCATGAATGAGCTATGGTTTGTTTTTCAGAATCAATATCATGTATATAGCAGTTAGGTTGTTCTCTTACTTATGTGTCGTTTCAATCCCTTTAACCGTTGTTAACTAAGCGTGGGAATTCAAATTGGGCCATTTTTAACATTTTATTACTTTTTGTTATCAAAGATGTGTAAAATCACAGTAACTGCCATTCATTCACATAACCATGGACTGATAACCGTGGATATGATAACTGATAATATCACAGTAGGTCTACTAGACCACTGACTGTTATCTGAAAAAGTATCACTTTGAGAGCCAAAAAAACTTTGATTTAATAAGAATGGACACTGAGTGAGATGGGAGATCCTGACCTATCGTTTATGGTCTACCAGCACAATATTACTGACTGACTGACTGAGTTTGGTTTTACGCCGCTTTTAGCAATATTCCAGCAACATCACGGCGGGGGACACCGGAAATGGGCTTCACACATTGTACCCAAGTGGGTATTCGAACCTGGGTCTTCGGCGTGACGATCCAACGCTTTAACCACTAGGCTACCCCACCGCCCCAGTGCAATATTAAGTATTATGAGTATTTTTTTGGTTTTGTTTAGCGCCAAACTGATCAGTGTTCCAGGTGCCAACAAAGTCTGGACCAGACACTCCCGTGATTGGTATAATGAGCATCCTTATCATGACATGCACCAACGAATTCTGGCAGTCGAAACACCCAATCTCTCTTGTCATCCCCGTCCCAGTACAAGCAGGGGGTTATCAATGCCAATATGTCCACAGGGGAACTAGCTCAGAATTTACGTTGACGAAGACGAAGAAATATGTAGAGTCCTAACTTCTTTAGTTGATTATAGAATGAACAGATTAGATTAAGAAATATGTTAAGTAGTGATTACAACTTTATTATAATGGGACAAGTCCAGCCAGCAGGATACCCTACATATCATACAGGGGCGGTGGGGTAGCCTAGTGGTTAAGGCATTCACTTATCATGCTGAAGACCCGGGTTTGATTCCCCACATGGGCACAATGTGTGAAGCCCATTTCTGGAGTCCCCTGTCATGATATTGCTGGAATATTGCCAAAAGCGTAAAACTAAGCTCACTCACTACATAGCATACAGGTGCAGACTGCCTGACAGCATGTGATTGTGAACATATACAGTTATAGACAACAATGGACAGATAAAGAAGCAGAACTTTGCAAAGCCTTCAACAATTGATGTGATGAAAGACACGGCCAAGGGTTATGATCAGTTAAGGTTACAACGTAATACACAGTAATTAATGAAGGTGCCAGAGTGGTTCGGGTTGGCTGACAAGTCAAGGGAGTATGCAGTGGTGGAGAGGATTAAGAATGGAGATTAGTACCATATGAATAATTGCCATTAAGTCTTATATGTCTTGGCTACATAGTGCAGGAGAACGCCCTCGCTTGTTACACAGTGGATTAAAATAAGCCATCATGGTCTCACATTGATGGACGATGGCTGTCCTGAATTAGTCGCTCTGACAGGATACTGAAGACTAGTGCTGACCTAAACAGTAGTACAGTGGTTGTAAATACTGTTGTCATGCAACAGCGATATGACAGCTGCACCAGGGTTCAAATTAACCAAGAGAGTCTACCAGCCCATCACATTATCCACAGCAATACCAATGTATTGTTGTATTAGGTCTGTAGTTTCAACATCAACAAAACCAGTCTGGGCAAACAGGCAAGTGCTAATATCTATGCATGAATATTGTGAATGCTAAAAGAAAACAACTCCATTATCAGTTTCTTCCAAGGGCTCCCCCAAAACTATTCTTCATACACCCCACTGGAATTAGATAATAAACAATTGTAAATATAAATATCATACCAGACCAGACCAGACCAGACACTCCAGTGATTGATATTACGAGTATCGATGTACACAGTTGAGATATGATGACATCAAACAATTCCGCAAGCATGACCACTTGCCCACCAGTTGAAAAACATGGGTTAGTGAAGATCATTTTGAGCACAGACATTCGTGAATCAGATCATATGTCAGATTGTACACAAGTCAGTATGTTTGTATGTTCATAATTTTTATGCATTTGACATTTTTGCTTAGATATGTTGAGATTCATATATTATAAGAGTCATGAGGTATTTTTGTTATCACAATATTTAGTCAGTGAACACCGTGAACACATCACCATGATTGCCTACAGTTAAAATATAAAACCCAAAAATTATCAAATAAAAATAGTAATATTTATGATGAGTAGATCTATATGATCTTATTTACAAAAGTTAAAAATGATTTATGATAATGAACTACCAAAGTGCCTATAGGTGAATTTCAATTCAGAAGTAAAACAGGTATACACATATTACAAACAACATAGAAAACAATCTTCTTTTAAAAATGTTAAAATATCTTGGTATCAAAGCAACATGTTTACCACCAACATCCAAGATTCCAGCGCACACGTGGACTGAACTGTGCTTACAGAATGTCCAATTGTCAAGTGGAGGCTTAACCTAGTATTCTAGTAGTAGTAGAATAAGACAGTGATCTTCAAGACTTGACCTTTCTCTGAGACAAGACGTGCTGTCCAACATTTCCTCTATTAGATACTCTGTCCTTCGCCTTATCTCTGTAGTATACAAACCGTGACTGTGCATGAGTCTATTCACAGCTACAGGGTGAAAGTAGATCCTTCCAGAAAATGACCAGACTTTGAAAACCGCAACAGTGATCTAGATCTAACCCACGCGGCGAGATGATTAGATAACATCCACCAGCAGGATCAAGTTGTTCTTCCACAAAGATAAGAATGACGGGAGTTCTACCCGTGTTATATAAGTACAGGAGAACGCCCTCGTTTGGTTCACAGTGAATTAAAATTAGCGAACCCAAATTAGCACGGGTTAAAATGTAACTCATCGATCACGACCCCACATTGAAAACAAGAAGGTAAACAAAAGCCATGCTGCGAGTGAGACGAAACAACTTACATTTTCAGCGCAGCTAGAGAAACCTGTGGACCAATCCAGTCATAACAGGCGAACCATTATATACAACCACCTGTCAGTCTACAGTATAAAGAGATACATACAGCTCGCACACCGGTTTGTTTTCCCAACGGAGTGTTGACCACGATTGTCTCCCTTAGAATATACTATTAGAGTTGCGTCCCTTTGAAATCTTAGCGACAAGCTCCTACATATATAGTGTATATAATCCGTTGTTCGCTGTGAGGATCATGACTTCTCAACATACTCTTCTTTCAGCGAACGAAACAAGACTAACGTGTTTTAAAAAAAAGTTATTATTTTATTGCAAAATATGCAAAACTTAAGAATTAAAATTCAAACGATCAACACAATGCAACATAGCTAAAGCATTCTCGATTTCAGTTACATTTAAATTAATATACTTTGTAATATCTTCACGTTTAAATGCATGGTGATTTTGATCTTATATCTTATATATATATAGGTCATGCTTATAAATATATCAGAGTCGGGCGCCTATGATTTTGAGACCATTGAAATCAGTGAAGTAACAATTACCGCATTTGCTCCATTATACAAAGGGTCGCTAATTTTGTTGTTGATATTTTGGTGATTATTAATGGCCGTTTCCCATTTCTGGACACCATATTGTAGGACATTTGACATTCAGGGACACCGAACCAACGTCGAGTACAGAAAAGCCACGTATCTGCGTAAATCACGCAAATATTTTGGTGAAAAGTCAATTCCTGTTTAGTCTATTGCTTGAATTTGTGTAAATAATGCTAAATATCAATAAATTTGATCTCACATAAATACACACAAAATAGATAAAATAACTGAGGTATATTGTGGGGTTCTATGAGCTTGGCAACTTGCAGTCTTTCTTATCGTTTCTCATATTACAGATATCAAATAAAAATAACAAACACATAAACCAACATTTATACTTTGTTATATGTTTACAATTAATGGAAAATGGCAAAATACTCAAATGAGTTGGAGTGAGGTGGGTAAAATTTATTTGGTTACTCAAAGGAAAATTGGGATACCCTATTGAGATTAACACATGCGAGTACATAACTCAATGACCCAAAATGTTATCTGTAGCTCTGCCAACGTCATGCACGAAACTGATGAGACTAGTAGAGGGTGTCCATAATAGGACAGTACTATCAGAGATGCTGGCTCGCGTTAAATACTCGGTTACGTACATAACTATGCCGATGTGTACTACGTACGTACTCGACCAACAAATAATAATAATAATATATAGAGATTTATATAGCGCCAATATCCAGATGAGTCCTGCTCAAAGGCGCTTTCGTATGAGTCTGACAAGGAAAGAGTTACTCAGAACTGTAACACGATTTGAAAAAGAATGTTTTCAACATACTCTTAAATGCACAGATTTTCTCTGCACTTTTAATGCCCAATGGGATGTTGTTCCAAAGCATAGGACCTGCTTTTGAGAAACATCTGTCTCCAAATGTCTTTGTCCTCGTATACGTGGCACAACTAGTAACTGGGCACTACTAGAACGTAGGGAACGGGAGGGTTGATGGCACTGGATCAGTTCGTTGATGTATGATGGGCCAATACGGTGAAAAGCTTTGTATACAAGCACAAGAATCTTAAATTCTATCCGTTTGACTATTGGGAGCCAATGCAGATGCATCAGAACTGGAGTTATGTGCTCATATTTGCCGGTTCGAGAGATAACTCTAGCAGCTAAATTTTGTACCCGCTGTAACTTTGCAATTCGTTGTTTTGGTAACCCAACCAAGAGAGCATTGCAATAATCCAGACGGGATAACACGTATGTGGCACAACAAACGTATGCCTGGATGAGTGATGCAGCCACACGTGTGTTTATATACTTCCTTATTAGAGCAATGTTCCTGATATGGAAGTACGCCTGTTTGCAGATTTGGCTGATATGGCTATAACGTATTGTGACAAAACTTCCGACTTCCGTGTTGACAACATTACAGAAGACCCATGAACCTCCGGGTTAGAATTGCTGTTTTGCAACCCATACTTGTCGTAAGAGTGAGTGAGTGAGGTTAGTTTTACGCTGCACCATTCCAGCTATATGGCAGCAGTCTGTAAATATTCGAGTCTGGACCAGACAATCCAGGGATCAACATAATGAGCATCGATCTACACAATTGGGATACGATGACATATGTCAACCAAGTCAGTGAGCCTGACCACCCGATCCCGTCAGTCGCTCCTTACGACGAGAATAGGTTGCTGAAGATCAATTCTCACACAGATCTTCAAGGGTCAATGATGCCAATGACTGGTTTGTTTGGTCAAGACAAATCATGCTGCTGATCATTGCTGTTGCAATCAATATTGCTGGGTGCAGCTTAAAACTAAACTCACTTAGACATTATACATTACATTTAGACCGAGGTAACATAATTGGAATAGATCTGTTCTGTTCAAATAGCACTCGCAAGCACACAAAGAAGAGGTAGAAAAGCAAGAAAAACCCAAGCCAACTTGAGCCCACTGTATACCGGAGATTATTGTCTCCGTTGCTTCCACAAGTACCTAGGGCGGTGGGGTAGCCTAGTGGTTAAAGCGTTGGCTCGTCACGCCGAAGACCCGGGTTCGAATCCCCACATGGGTACAATGTGCGAAGCCCATTTCTGGTGTCCCCCGCCGTGAAGTTGCTGGAATATTGCTAAAAGCGGCGTAAAACCCAAACTCAGTCAGTCAGTCCACAAGTACCTGATCTGGACTACCAGTTGTCCGACTTCCATCTTTGTGGATAGTTGAATCTGTGTGCTGTCGATTAAGTGCCTGACTCTGAGAGTGATACTTCGAATCTCGGATGTGGCTTAAGCTTGCAAAAATACCAGAATCTGTACTTTACTGAGAAATTGCCACCCCAAATGTAGCATGTGTTACATTTGACCACTTTTACAAAGGCATCGTGTGTATTCATAGTTTTCGTCCGTGAGAGCCGTACCAAGTTACACTTGTGAGTGGGGTACGTCATCTAGACTACCAGTTGTCCGGCTCCATTTGTGGTAGCCGCGGTGGTTTAATGGGTTAGATGGCTGACTTTGTGTGCTGGCGATTAGAGTGTGGGTTCGATTCTTTGATGGGACTCAACCTAACGATAGTACTACAATCAGCAATGGCACAGGAATGAACACGATCCCTACAAGGGATACACAAAGTACGTAATCTTGACTACCAGTTGTCAGACTTCAGTTTTGTGGGAGCCATGGCGGTTTAGATCGCCGATTTCGTGTGCTGGCGATTAGGTACCTGAAAGTGTGGATTCGAATCCCGGATTGGAATGAATAACAAAAGTCCTTTAATCCGTACTTTACTGAGAAAGTGTAATCCCAAAATATAACATATGATACACTGGCTAAACACTTTTCACAACAAGCATGTAGGACTATACAGGAAAGTGTCATCAAACCAAAGTATATGGCCATTTCTCAAGCATTATCGGGACCCGGGTATCATTTTTGTAGAAACCCACCATACAATCCCTAGATCATATAGATTGGTCGCCTCCTCAGTAAAGTGAAATAGACCATTCTTTCACTTCTGCACAGCATGTTACTTTCTCATGTAACCGTGTATATGATGTCGACTTTTGTCGTGATTGCGTGAGGTGAGTTCTCGCATGAAGTCTCACGCGATCTGTGATATGCTCGTGATCGGAATGTGAGCTGTATGGTCACAATGAAACTATCGTGAAGGGATCCTTCTGAATGCATGCAAAGAACGATTCTTTATCTGTGTGGATGTAGATCAACTACGCAATAACTATAGTTAGAACTTACATTCAATTTCGTTTAAGCGACCCACACATTTTTTTAGAAAATTTGTGTAAATTTGTGACTTTTAATTTCAGGGGCGGAAATAGCTTTTGGAGAAAGAGGAGGTGAACACTATTGAGAAAGGGTGGGTGCACACTTCATTTTCACCCGTTTTCTCAAGAGTTTCAATGGTCATTTAATAAACTTTCAGGACAAAAGGGAGTGGGGAAGGGATTCACCCCTGCACCCCCAACCCCCTCTGGATCCGCTTATGCATTTGGTTGGTCAGCAATATTCCAGCTATATGGGGGCGGTCCGTAAATAATCGAGTCTGGACCAGACAATCCAGTGATCAACATCAAAAGCATCGATCTATGTAATCGGGATACGATGACATGTGTCAGCCAATTCAGCGAGTCTGATCCCCCCTATCCCGTTAGTCGCCCATACCACAAACTTGGGTTGCTGAAGATTAATTCTAACCCGGACTTCTCGGGTCCTTGAATTAGTTATGCATACTTGAAAACTTAGACATGTATAACTCATAATTCAAGGAATTTAATTTTTCGACCAGTAAGACTAGACCATTTGTAAGTCTCCTACTGTTCAATCGCAAAGCTCCTTAAAAGCGTTGAAAGTAATTTATTCCACTCTACGCCCTAAATCGTTCAATTATATAAATCCTCTAAACCCCCGCTATTAAATCTTTTGTTAATGACGTCACTAGAATTAAGTGCGAAAATGGGACATTCATTCACTTTGAATTAAATTGAAACCCACCACCCACAGCGTCACGATAGTTTTTAAGGCAATATGTAATTCGTGTTAGCTTTGTGTGGTGTATAACATTTGCGTGACCAATGCTAAGGTTCGGCACGGAGGCCTAATATCAGGTTATGTTTGTTTAAGATCACCAGCTGTAGTGGTATCAGATTTACCGTTAGTCAGAATATCGCCTCACTACCCAATCTTTCATGGAGGAGCGAAAGTGTACGTTTCTCCTTGGATACGGAAGAAGCATTCAATTATCAAAAGTGTTACTAATAACGCAAAGTATATAAATTAAGTGAATAAAAACTATATTGTCATTGCATTTCTGACTACCGTTTCGCCAAGAAAAACTATAGCATTCGCAATGTGTAAGTAATGATATATTCTTAGTGTATTGACATACATGTTAAATCTCTCTTTTAATTAATTTTCTTTTCAACAGACATTTTTCGGTGTTTGAGATGAAACATAAAAGTTAAACAGCAATTATATATTTAATGGTGAGATCAATCAACAATTGTAAAATGATCTGTCAGTTTAACGCATCAGTCATGCAAGATTGGTTGGTCTATTGT